GTCGGTTTTCTTGCTATGTGAGGGCATACACCGTGAGGGCATATGTTACTGAATAGAGCGGATTTAGTTCGTTCGTATATTTTATAAATGAAATACTTATGAAGAATGCATACTCTTCACAAGTAATACATGGACCCCACATGGCTCTTATTTCTTTCTTAGGACTTATTATATTCGCAATAAAACCGTCGATATTTAGAGAGTCTGCGAAGCCAACTTCGTATTCATAATCATCACTTGCACGGCGATTGCCTCCTAAAATCCACTATACAAAAATTTATTAGATATATTCGCTTAAAAAAGTATTCATTCAAATTCACAATAATCGTTTTCTATAGAATTGATTTCGAAAATTAAATATCTAAATTAGCTTATATAAATGGGCGACTCTCCTATGTTAAAACCCAATACTTTTATACATACGTAACGCCAGATCTCGTTTCAATTAAGAGATTTTAAAATGACTATTATTATACAGAGAAGGTTAAATTCTACGTTAATAATAGCTATTGATCTTTGGGCCTTGTGTATTTATTTCGCGATAACCATCATCGACTTGAGCGGAACTAAGACGTTCCATTAAGGTAGGATACCTGTGAAGCCTGCGAAGTGCCCAGGAAACTTACGCTAGTGGTAGATAGCTCCACTCTGAATTAGTCCCATAACCCTAACTCCGCTTTGATAGAAATTTATTATTATCCTTATTTAAAAATATTCTTTGGATACATAACAGATAGATCTGAGCAATTTTTTTTTCATTTAACTATAAATAAAAATACCTACTGTATTATATACACTTAGTTAATGTTCAATGTGATTTCTGTATGTATAGTGGCTGAGGATGTGACTGTTATCCGTGAGGTCGTGCGTTCTTAGCCTACCAATGGGCGTTTATTTCTATGTGCGTAATTAGATGCGTATGGTAGACTTTTAATTTGATAAACAAAGAAAAAATATCATACACATACATGCAATCTAAGGCCTACAATGCATTTGATTTTATATACTTTGTTATATTCTCGTTTATTCATAAAAATCAAATATTGAAAAAATCATTAAAAATTCATAAAAAGAAAATTAAAACAAATTTAAAAAGTTTAGCCCTTGTGGCAGTGTACCTTTTGATATGCTTATATTTTAAGATTTTTATTATAGTATGTTACTGTAATAAGACAATGACTACTCACTGCGATATTTTTCTTCAAGTTTGCTTTATTTTGACTTTCATAAAAACTTTGACATTCAATTTGAATAAAATTTATGATAACAAGATACACGAGGTACTTCTTCATTTTGCTTATGTACGATACTAAATGTACGGCGTTGATAACAGTATAGATAAAAATTAACATAGGTTGACCTAAGAGCAATGAGCGTGATAATACTTCGTGGACTGGTTCTTATCCGGTTAGTTTAGGCAAAAGTTGACGTGGCTAATAATCTCTTACAGGCAACTGAAAGGAAATATCATAAAGGAAACAAACGAAATATAATTTCAATATCATCCTTATTTAACTAATAAAGATTTAAAAAAAAATATCATTTATATGCCGACAACGCATCGCAACGCTAGTTCTCTAGGTTCTCAATGATTCATTGAAAGAAAAGAATTGAATGAAGGCCATCGTGATAGGCAACACCGAAGACAAAAGATCGCGTGGACGTTCGCCAACGAGATGTTCTGATCAAGTAAAAGACTCGTCGTCATCAAAACAATATGCAGTTGTAAAAGAAGAGCAGGACTAAAATTGGTGGCTAAAAATTATGACTGACCACGATATTCAGACATGAGTTACGGAGCCAGAGAGACATAATCAATCTAATATATAAAATTCTCGTGTCACAGTTTTCGTTGCCATACTCCTCCGAAACGCCTAGACCGATTCTCATGAAATTTTGTGTGCTTATTGTGTATGTCTAAGAATCGGACAACATCTATTTTTCATCCCCCTAAATGTGAAGGGTAGTCCACCCCTAAATTATTTTTTTAATTTTTAGATAAATTACTTTGTTTTTACTTTTTTAAGATACAGCATAAAAAAATACATACAACCCCTAACTTTCACCCCTCTACGATCAACCCCTATTTTTTATTATAAATGATATACATGGCAAAATGACGTTTGCTGGATCAGCTAGTAAACATATAAAACTGCATTTTATTAAATGGAATTGGTCTAACACTGAACTGTCAACTGAAAATGTGGTAAATCACAGAACAGATTTCATATTTTTTTTTACTTATGTTACTTTAATGACGTTGTGGTTTATGACATTTTCCTTTGAATAATTGTAATGTAGAGGGAGGGTAAAACTTGCTGAGTTTCTTGCCCGTTCTTCTCAGAACCAGGCCTCCTGGTAGTTTTGCGAACGGATGGCGTAGTCTTGCTCTTTCGCGAATTTTGTAAACGTTTTTGCCATTCATAAGCATGCGCTAAGACGCATCTAAATTAAATAAACGTATTTTGATTTTGATTTTAAAGATTTTAGATTATATATTTAAGTGCTTCATTGGCTTATGCTGTTAGTTAATAATAAACTTTCAGGTATTAAAGGTAATGTTGTTGAAAAATTCATTTAATGCCAGACCGAATACATAAAAATTCAATAATGAATTCACTCAACTTAGTTAAAGAGAGTGGGTCTAGGACCTCTTGATTGTAAGTGATTACATAGTTAGGTATACAGTGATGTCTTTGAAATGTAATAGCAGGTATTATTATATACAGTTAAATAAGATAGACCCTAAAATAGAGGGCTCGTTTTTACCTACCTATTAATAAACATATTTGATCAAAGTTGAAAGTTTAAGAGTCACCAATGCAACAAAAAATCCAAATGTAATTAAATTTAAAGAATTAATTATTCTTTTTTTAATTTAAATACATTACTTAAATAAAAATTAATTTCTACATTAGTTAATTAATGTAAAGAATAGATACATATTGTTGATTTTGATTTAATCCTTGATCTTCATTTAATTTACTATACAGTTTATAGATTATTTTAAAATATATTTATAATTTCTTCTTGATAAATCACTAGCAGTTCTCCCCGCCGTAACCAAATACTTCATAGTATCTGAAAAAAAATATCGTATTAACCCAAGAGATGTTTTAATTTAATAATAATTAATAGATACATATTATTTCTGATAACTTGCAACAGAGCTACAAAAGAGAGGTTTGTAGGCACATCAAAATTTTTAATTATTTTGATTACTCACCTATTACAATTGATACATTCACCCCAAAGCGATCTTGTTGTCCCAATAGGACATTTTGATATATTGACAATATATTTGTATGCGTCCAGTTCGTGCATAAATTGTACACTGAGAATAATTAAAACAAAGACAACGACAACGATTCATGACTATTTTTTCGACTGATTACGTTTTAATTTTAAGTTGTTACTTGCGAGTTTTAAGTGTTTCATTTATTGAAGAAGTGAGACAAACAATGAAGCTCTAACGCTTTAATGCCGGGTAGAGGTCTGGCTGCTGGCAGCCTCGGGCAACAAAGGAGTGGAGGGAGGAGGCCCCAAATTGTTTTGCAAATAAAATACTAAATTTTTTTCAGCAACACGTCAACCCTGGCTTCGGGCCTGTTGAAAACGACACAGTTTGATAGTTTACGAATTACGGAGGGAAATAAAAAAATATTGGATTTGCGTTCCCTAATTGTCATCATTTCATACAATCTGAGCCAAGTCGTCCAATAGGCTGATTGCAGATGGATTTAAAAAAAAGTTGAGTTTTCCAATAAATAATTTATTGTGTCCAAGTATCAAGTATTTTATTATTTATTTTCCTTACTTCCTTTTGTGTTAAGAGAAGGGCCCTCTAAATCCAATGTAACGCTTAAAGTTCTTCATTAGTGTAACGATATTAAGTCTAAAGTAGCGTGACATTTTGTTTCATTCTTTTTTGACGTCGTGTTCGACGTCAACTCAGTTAACAAATATCATAGCAGCATCGATTCGCTGAAATTTCATACAATTTCGAATCACCGCTCATAATAGTTTTAATTGCTTCATTGCATTGATAAATTGATTTGATTTAGATTTATTAATTATTTCCTGAAAATTAATGTAAAAGATACAAATACTCTAGGAAATGTAAATTTAGAAGCATTTAATGTATATTTATTTTTTGACGTTCATAAGTGTACGTATATGAATAAATGATTGGCAAATTTGGGTATTCAAAAGTCAGAAGAAGAAGTATATTTAATAAAAAGAAGATACACCAAATCAATAGTGAATATATCAGACAAAAAAGAAAATAAAACGATGCCCTATCACAACACATGCACATTATAAAAAACACAACGGAAGTTACCACCCGGGAAAAGAAGAGTGGGCAGGCCAAATAGATGGTTGGCTGATGACTTGAAAGAAATCGCAGGAAAAGCTTGGCAGACTGTTAGTTAAGGATGGAGGTAAAGATGGAGACATTTGGAAAGGGTTGGGGGAGTACCCAAGTGGGGTACATGTTCACAGGCGACTTATTACTACTAACATTTAGCTATAAGTAATATTAACAATATTTGAAATGGAACTTAAGGATATGGATATAAAAAAGACTTTATTTTTATTATCATTTTATAATCAAAGGCATTTAGGTTCACGGTGTCATTATATTAATTGTCTGGTGATAATAATTACAGTTTCTTCGTACAAATAGACCCCGGGTAACGGCCATTGGGACATGGCGCTATATCTAATTGAAAGCTAACCCCTTTTCGAATTCATTGACAAACACTCCATGGGTGAAAAGTCTGCTAATAGTATAATTTATTATCTATGAAATGTCATGATCCCGGAACTACATTTCATCCTAAGAGGTCATGCTGTATTAATATTTTTAATACTATTTAATTTAACAGGTATATTATTACTTTATAATTCCGATCTTCGACTGTTATGTTATATACATAAGAAGTAAATAAATTTAATTTTTGAAGTGGCTTATCTAATTAACCTTTTTATAGTTTCCCTTAGCAGTTATTTCCCGCATGGCCAAATTTTTGCCGGTATCTGAAATAATTAATATTAGATTTTAATACTTTATTTAACCAAGAATATTTAATAATTATTTATGTTAGCTGCTGTAACTGCTAGAACTTGTTAAAGAGAGCTTCGTTATTTATAAAACACAGGCAATACTAGACATAGACATAACATTTATTACAAACGAAAAGACACACACATAAACACACAAAATAACAATACTTAAAGAAAAAATATAATAAGACATATCAAAAACAATAAAAATAAAAAATAAAAACTAATAATAATGACACATTTGTTTGTTGATTTTTAACTATGTATTTGTTTGTTGAACTATAATTAATCCAAAGGGACCATTGGTGTCTTACAATGTATATGGAAGAAATAATACGTATTAAGACTACTCACTCGTAACACGCTATACAAGCGCCCCACGGCGCTCTAGTCATCCCTGCGGGACAACTCGAAGAGTTAGCAATGAAGTCATCATCACCACCTCTACCGTTGCTATTAAACCCCATGCCATCGTCATAATCATCAGCCTGCCTTGTTATCCGTGGATTGGACATGCATTGCACACTGATAATTAGTAGAACAAATACGACGTAGTGCTTCATTTTTACTTTTTAAACTGATATAGAAACTGTATGTAACTTTAGTTTACAGTGGATGATAAGGTTACATATCTCACATTTGACCGCTCGTGAACCTGACATGACCGTTTTGAACCGTGTGACAAGATTAAATTGCAATTGTTTATTCCGCCATCTACCTAAAGGTGCGCTTACACGAGGGCAATAATTGCTCAGCGACACGAATGGACCGATCTGGAGCAATTAATGGAGCAATTTCAATAAATTTCAATAAATTATTTCGATGATATTGCTTCTAATTGCTCCAGATATTTCATATCGCTCAATGTCGCAGATACGAATTGACGAATATCCAATGGACTTGGAAATTCCTAGCAATTTTTGTATATATCTCTTTCGCACTTGTTTGTTTTGCGGCTTGCCGTCTTGCTTCCGCGGGGAGAGCGAGAGGTCTAAATAATAATAATTTCTAATTACTTTATTCAAAAGTAAATCAAAGTCTGTTCGTGACATTCTAGTAAATTTTTTGAATAATATATCATCCAATTCTTTACAGAATGAAAATTGCGGCCTCTTTGCCAAAAACTATCGCACCCAGATACGCCTATTCCTTTTCTTTCTTTTTTGTTTTTGATTAATAATAAAAAAAGCGCTACAAGCCGCCGCAGCAAGAACAATGTCGTCCATAGCGAGCAAATACTGAAATGCTCGTGTAGGACAGTATTGCCTAGTTGATGAAGTTGCGCCATATCGCTCAATATTGTATTGCGCAGTATTGATGCTTGTTACCGTTGCAGTAAATTGCTTGATGTAGTCGTGACGTCATAGTTGACGAGTATTGACTGGAATTGAGCAATTTTAGTTGCCCGTGTAAGAGCACCTTAAGAAATAGGACCGCAGTATTTATCACTCGTCAATTCTGAATGCACGGCCAGAAGGCTAGGCTCTCAGTTTTGAGTTCTCAATTAATCGAATACTTAATAACCTTTATTTGGTCGTGAATTGACAGTATTTGCTGTATAACATATAATCTTAAACTAGTTCATTTAAAAGTCAACTTAGGATGCTATTCTATATTATATTGTAAATGTGTAATTAAATTATATATAAATATATTTTAAGGAGTTTATAATAAAGTTTGTTATGGAAGAGCTGGGAACCCTTACACAGGTATTTTTTACTTAAAAGGGTTCCCAAATCTTATACATGTAATGCACATTTTCTTAAAATGAATAAACACAGTTTTTTTTTATTCGGAGTCGGGATTATTGTTAAGTTTCCTTTGAATTTAACTCTAAAATAATTGTGCGATGTGAATTTATTCATATTAAACGAATAACATGACAGCGTTGTTATTAATAAATTTTCACCTGTCATACAGTAACGATAGGTTATGGTATGATTAATTTAAGTGTTCGTTTAAGTGTAAACTCAAAAACAAACTTAAGTAGACGTAAGTAAGACATTAATGAATTAAAAATAAAATAAAATATGTTTGTTATGGAACATAAGATACATATATCACTTATTCCACGTCATTAAATTTGAATATATAGGCATCCCTACTCATCGGCAAAGAAGACAGAGGGTGTAGGCCGAGAGAAAAAGCCGGCGTAAAAAACTCTCGGTACTCTTTTAAAATAGCAAATCATCAAACAACACTTATTTTAAAACAAATATCGCAAATTAATTATAAGTAGCCTGTCTAGCACTAGTCCGAGGCCATTTTATCAACTAGATAATCGTTAACTTTATAGTAAGCCTTTTTACACAGCTTTTCTTTAATACATTTCTTAAATTTATTAAAAGGCAGAGATAAAAGAGCCTCTGGGGTTTTATTAAAGAAGAGTATGCCTTTTCCCAAAAAAGAATTACTAACTTTAGATAGTCTAGTACGGGGAAATTGCAGCCTGCGTTTGTTCCGAGTATTAACATTGTGCGTATGTTCTATTCTAGAAAACTTATCACTATTTTTGGCAAGACTTGGCAATACTTGGCAAGACTATGGCAAAGTACTTATACATATAAATGTCCATCTTAAAGCGACTGTAATTCCTGTTATCTGACAGCAGGTACATCAGGTCATCGTGTATTTAAAAATATCTCATATAAAAAAGGTTTTCCTCAAACATTTTATTGATAATGAAAAATCGATTGCAAAAATTTTGTCTAAAGTGGAGCATAGCAAAGAAAATGAAGATCTGTATAAAACGTTGAATTATTGAAAATTTCCAATAGCTTTACCAAATTTGAATAAACTTATGTTGGTGCAAACTAATTTACCCTAAATTACGATAGGATTTACGTAAAATAAATTGTTATCGTTTGGTGTAATAGTAGCAGTGGGTACAATGACTACTCTTTAAAGGCGATAATTCTTTAAATTTAATTTCAAACTGCTTTTAATTAAAAATTGTCGGTGGATCATCTAACATTGGACGATGCTCTGCGGAACGTGTATTTGACGAAAGGTCACTCACATACAGGTCTGTACCCTGTAGCTCTTTATAAAATAAAGTGAAGAAACTACTTATAATAATTTAAAGGATATTTTATTACGAATGCCTCATAGACCAAGCTTTACCAATTCCTCTCAATGCTTTATTCAGGTTTTTTTATTATAAAACGTTACAGGGTAAACAAATATCATAATTAAAACAACCTCAGAGCCCACTGATAGACATTACAGATTTATTTTTTAGATATTAGTTTGAGAATTGTATAAGTCTACATTGCAACTAATTGTAATTTTTTTTTAACTTTCGGCCTACTTTTAAACAATTAATATGTTTAAAAAAAATTACGTTTGACTGGATATCTAATACAATTATTATTACTTTAGTTAAATGTCTTATCCCTGAGGTCGTAGGTTCGTTCCCCGGCTGTTCACCAATCGATTTTCTTTCTATGTGCGCATTTAACATTCGCTCAAATGTTATTAGAAAACATCGTCAGGAAACCGACATGTCTTAGACCCAAAATGTCGAGTGTCAGGCACTGGAGGCTGCTCACCTACTTGCCTATTAGATTGATAAATGATCTTGAAACATATTCAGAAATCTGAGGCTCTGACCTAAAGAGGTTGTAGCGCCACTGATTTATTTTTTGAATAATTTAAGGAAGCTGTATCTCAATGTTTAACTACATTTAATAATGGACAAATACAAAAATAGTATATTATTTGGAACACGCAGTTCTTCAGACTTTAGCCATGCTGTACTTCTGGCGAACTGCCACTGGCTTTTTATATAGATACAGTACAAGGGGGTTAGGCAAGACTGAACTAAGATAACACCCCTCATTTTGAGTTTTGGTTAATTGAGGCAAGAAATTGCATCGTATTTGAAAACTTGACATTTCATCCTCTTCGCGTAACACGGTCAATTAAAACGTGGAAAATGCTTTCAGAATTCGGTCAAGAGATCATTTTACATCAACCTACGATTCTCAGAATTCATTTACTTATTAAATTCTGTGTCACATCATTAGGATTTGAAATTTTGAGAACCCTATTTGTTATTAATATAATATTTTCAAAATGCAAAATATAATATTTTTACAGATTTATTTGAGCCTTTTAATTGCGATACTATATAAAAGCTTATAGTTCAAATGAGAATTCGTTTAATTTAATTATTTAGGTTTATTATTATTGTAAATGGATATTAATAATTTATTATTAATTTCTTGTGTCTCAGGGTTACCCCATTTAGATAAAGGGCTCTTCTTGGCATCATGTGTTTTCTTGCTTCTGCCATACATGTCAACCCTTAGTATAAAAAAGGCTGTAAACCATAAGTTAGTTTATAAACAAATTAATTAAATTATTTATTCTATATCTACATTTATTTCATAAAAACATAAATATAAATTGCTTATGTCAGTAAATAAATTAAAGCAATTGAGAATCTATATTAAATGTTTAACAATTAAAACACCGGTGACACGACAGCTTGGTATCTGTAGGGTGAGCCCGGAAAAGACGCATGTTAAGGGATAATGTAAATACAACCATAATCTGATAATCAATAGAACTCTTTGTACTAGGCCTAGGCCTTCTTTATAATGTATATACGTTTATTAGATTAATATAAACTATATCCAATATAAATTATTTTACACACAGTCGATATAAATTTAACATCAATTCATTTGTTTCAGAAAATGGCGGATTTTAATTCAAAGGCGTAACTTATGATCTCGTTAATAGATTACAAGGTAGTTGAACATTTCATAAAATGGAATGCCTCAGAGCCAGACAGCGAGTTATATATAGAAAATGTAGAAAAAGACGAAGAAAACGCAAGTAAATATACATATCAAATGATAGAGGAAAATCCGCACTGTAATAAGACAGTGTGCACTGAATACGAAGCGTTTGAGGCAGCTGTTGTAGTCTTTCTGTGTGGTTTAATAGTTATTACTGTAATAGGTAAGTCTATATTAAAAAAAATACATAGTCTCTGTACATAACTTTGTTCTGAATCCAAACATATTGAAGTTATACTTCTTTTGGCGCGTTAGGGAAAAATGATAAGAGTCCGTCGCAAAAAACCGTCAGCCTGAAGTTATAGACCACAAGCCCATGAACAAAAAATACCTGTGAAATGACCCAACGTGAATTACGTTTAGAAGGCTGTTACTATATCTGAAAATAACTCTGAGCACTATGCCGTCATTTCTCAGCGGTACATGTGAGTACGTGAGTGAATGGAATTTCTCAGGTACAAGTGAGGAATTTCGACTAATTATTAATGTACGGCTTTGTTATAAGTGTATAGATGATTAAAAATAAATGTCGAAAAACCTAGTGCCGTACTAAAGTGATGGTACCGGAAGTCGGTGCAAATTTTAATTCGACGATAGTTGCAGGAGCAATATAGCTCATTTATTACTGTACTGCATTTGTGTGATTCCTTTTGGACACATATACAGATACTTTACCCGTAAACGCCGTACATATTTCCAGCGGAGCGGTCGAAAGCCAAGGGTCGCAACATATCTCTGATTAGCATATAGGTGATGATATAGAACAACATAAAATTAAATGATCTTGAGAGTTCTTCACAAATAGGTAACATTTTCCAGCATGCCGTACATTTTTTAAGTAGTCGAAATTCCTCACTTGTACCTGAGAAATTCCATTCACTCACGTACTCACATGTACCGCTCAGAAATGACGGCATAGTGCTCAGAGTTATTTTCAGATATAGTAACAGCCTTCTAAACGTAATTCACGTTGGGTCATTTCACAGGTATTTTTTGTTCATGGGCTTGTGGTCTATTAGCTATAGTCAACATTTTAGTTTTTTTATGCAACTATTGATGCTGTATTTGTACGATATTTAGATAATGTTTCTACAAGAATATTTGTATCATAATTTACCTATCATAAGCCTCTTGTAACTCACATGTCTACCGAAGTCCAACCAATGGACGTGAATTAAATAGTAAATATCAATATGCATAAGTTGCATGCCAAAATAAAAAATGTCCATTTCTTTAATTATGTAGAAATATATTTTTTGTGATATTTATATTAACTTTATTTAACTACATAATGCCTCATAATAAAACTTATTGTAAGTTTCGTTTTTTCTACAAACGTAGAATAAAAAATTTGAAAAGATTTTTATCTTGTTACGCCAAAAAAGTATAACTTCTAACGCGTATAAGAACACACACGTTTTGTTTTAGGTAACACATTGATTATATTAGCAGTTTTAACAACTAAAAGGTTGAGGACAGTCACAAATTGCTTTGTAACAAGCTTGGCGCTTGCCGATCTTCTTGTTGGTATCTTTGTGATGCCACCAGCGATAGCGGTTCATATAAGAGGTAAGATAGTCCAAATTTTTGTTCGCCAGACTCTTGGTAACTCTTTACTTAGCACCGTCAAAGATATCAAATCCTTTTTTTTCTCGTCTCTCGTTGAATATTGCTTCACTTGAAACATCGAATAATATGAACGATGTAAAACAATTAGTTTAATAAGTATCGAGCTTTAATAGATTTTAACGATCAAAATGCTAATTATAGCAATTTAATTATTGAATAATATTGTTCTGATTTTCTGAAATCTAACTTTATCGGTTTTTAAATATATAATTGTGAATTGCGTATTACGATTTGTTTAATTTGTGGCATATTTATTTCTATTATATTGTATTTTCTTTGACAAACATTGCCGCTGCCGTTGTACGTACATAAAAATATAAAGTTTTCAACAATTAGTTTTTTTTTAATAATCTGCTTGAATACTGACTAAAAAACCCGAAGGAATGCAATTTAATGCTATTATTTTATATTATATTCGTGTGCGTACCACGTGATAACTGATTTTGAACAACAGTTTAAAACATTTTGGTCTTATTATAAAATTAATTTAATAGTTGAATGATTTTTTAGGTTACTTAGGAACAACGCGGCAATCTATTAGTATTACGCAGATTATCATAAGCTCTCAATAATTTACGTTTTAATGAATGCGGTTTTGAATTTAACAATACTGCGATTTGTTCGTCTAATTTTATGGTCGATGAATTGCATAGGTTTACATATTTGTACAGGGCGTCCCAAAGTTATGGGACATGAAGGCAAAGTACCTTAAATATCGTAGATAGGGTATTTTACTGAAAGAAGACTTTATGTTATTTTTAAAAGTTAGTAATCCGGTATTCAAAGATTTTCTAAAAATTACTTGCCTCGTCTGGGGATCGAACCGACTTAAATGTAAAAAAAAAACACTCCTACTTTTATGATTCCAATCGAAAGAATGGCCAAAACCTAATAACTCTTCTTAAGTAACATAGTATTTTAAAAGAAAGAAACAGCGTGAAATTAATCATTGTAATCAAATTAAAAACATTATCATATTTGGTCTAAAGAAAATCCACTACGAGTCACTGAAACTAATAACCAAGTGCGTTTCATTCATTGTTCGTTTCACTCGCTCGCACGGAAAAACATCAGGAATCCAGCGTGCCTTACACCCAAAAAGTCAACGTATTACATAAACAATGGATCACTGAAACCGATACAGAAATCTGACCTAGAAGGCTGTAGCGCCACTGCTGTTTTTGTCCATTCACATACTAACGTGGTAAAAATGAAAATCCTGAAAATAAAACGCGTCTTGCTTTTTAATAGGTCCTTAGAGACATACAATAGCAAAAAGCTAAGGGCTGATGTTGTTGAATGAAGTTGAGTTATGGTTTTTAAAAAAATTGACACGTTCAAACAGTGCTTATTGACTAAAAATAATACACAGTTTGACATTGGAGTCTTTTGAGAAAATGATTGATAGCCTTTTCGAAGCACGTTTCATTAAATTTTCGCTTTTCACCTAAACTGAACCGAGGTATAATGGTTTTCATAATTCATACGCTTCAAAGGCAATGAACTTGTGAAACATTACTGTGCTAACGTGTTTATTGAGAAATATATTTGTATATTTACCTAAATAATAAAACTCTATCAAATATAGTAGTAAACAGTAGATTCAACATTATGCTAAATCCTATGTTTTTCTCGACTTAAAAAAATTATATTAGTTTGACCATTGTGATACTGTTGAAATGTAATAAAATTGGGCAGTTTATTAAGACTTCCAAGCACGTGTGATCAAATTATAAGTCATATCGATATGATTTTCAATTTTGTCAGGTAGGCAACTTATCGATAAACCAAGTTTCAGTAGATTATACATGGGCATTTCTAGAGGGATGTACTAGTATATAGATATATGTTTTTATTTTCAGTGGATAGGTATTTGAAGTTGATTTATTTTAAAATCTTTTATTTAAAATATAATAGGTGTAAATGAAAAATAAATTACCGTATAAGATTATTTAATCTTTTCTCTTTTCCAGGCGAATGGGAGCTTGGATGGATCCTATGCGACATATGGATAAGCCTAGACATTCTCCTATGTACTGCCTCCATCCTATCATTATGTGCAATAAGCATAGACCGGTACTTGGCTGTGACGAGGCCACTGACTTACTCACGGCGTCGGAGATCGAAGAAACTTGCTCTAACAATGATTCTGTTCGTTTGGATTGCTGCTGGTGCTATAACATGCCCTCCTATGCTTGGATGGTTAGTCTATCATCATCAGTCAGTCAGATTATCAGTATTCTATAACACAGAATATGCAAATAATTATGTGATATGTATTTACTTTATATCAAAATGTGTTTACATCATCGTTCTTGTGGGGATTTTTTTTTATTTAATGACATTACGCTACGATTGAAGTAAGGCGAGTAAATTCACGGGAAGTACGTAGTATACATACATTTGAGTATAATTATTTATTTGTCATGATTTATTTTAAAATATATTATTGAATGAAAATCGTGCTTATTTCGCGTAAGTGGCCCGACCACACACTATAGTGTTGTTTTAATATATTTATAAAGATTGATATGATATTGCAATAATGTAAATATACTGTATACTATATTATAGCAAAATAGAAAAAAAATCTTAAAAATGTAACTTTTTCAGGTATGAACCAGACCATAACCAAGGCGGTGTCTGTAGATATAACCAAAACGCAGGTTACGTCGTATTCTCAGCCATGGGTTCCTTCTTTCTGCCCATGATCGTCATGGTATATGTCTATGCCAGAATATCATGTGTCGTGGCAAGACGACATCAGCAACTGGCCAGTACAGCCAGTAAATGTACTAAGGTACGAATTGTTTCATACTCTTATGTATTAATAAAAATAAGATTTAGATAAAATAACGAATGAATTTCAATAATTTTACTTTCAGACAGAAGATATGTTAGGTTGGTTCCCAAAGACATCTTTGATTTTATATATTCATGATTTTTCAAAAGTATGTCTAAGCTGTTTTGTTTACGAATATCATAAAACTTTGCAATAACCTTTGTATATAAATATTTAATCTACTCTGAAATTAAAGGTTTAAAATTAGAATAAAAACAGTTGTGTGGTTAATGACTAAAATTACATCATGATAAACAGTCCCTTAGGAAAATGTGTAGGTACAGCTAACTATAATGATTAAACTGCACTATCACTACGTAGTGCACTAAATTCTATTTGAAAAGCAGGTAATGAAATTTCATTTGCTTTAAGCAAATATCTGTTGCAGAATTATATCTGAATTAATATTCTACCAGGGGAGTACATTTATGCATTTGTAATAACTTTTGTAACATACTTGACGAAAGCGCTCCGTTATCTGTACCATTTGTTTCGTCCCCGATGACCTCGTTTGACCAATGCTGACGATACAAATTGTTTCAGAAAGCCAATTTATCCTGTATTCGCACTGAATCCGATTCTGGGTCAGATAAACTTTCTCTACGACAAAGCGCATCTAAACAAACTCCACAACAAAACGATACCCAAGAACAAAAATGCCCTTGCTGTTTCCGAACTGAAAAGAGACAGAAAATGAAAAAGAGAAGGAGAAAGAATCCAAATTCACCGAGTTCAAGGCGAACTACAAGTATAAGAGTTCCAGGATTTCTAGAAGGACACATTCGATAAGAGATCACGAGAACAATAGAGTGTCGTCGTTACGAAGGGAAACGAAGACGGCTCAAACGTTAAGTCTCGTGGTGGGAGGTTTCGTCGCTTGCTGGTTGCCGTTCTTCCTCTATTATCTAATGACACCTTTTATACCAAGTAGTTATGTATACCCAGTCCTTATGTGTGTATTAACATGGTTGGGATGGTTTAACTCCGCCATTAATCCATTTATTTACGCATTCTATTCACCGGATTTTAGATTAGCTTTTTGGAGGTTGACTATAAGAAAATGTATGAGGAATAAACGTTAATACACAGTTTTCTTGTAAATATTGTTACGTAAATATTTCTTCTATACAAATATAATAAACGTATGCATCCTTATATCACAGCAGTATTGGTCTAAAATATTGGTGCTTTTCAGTTAGTTTAAAATTATTTATGTAATACCTTGTAGAAGTATTTGAGTAAATATGTATTTCTTACTATATGAAACATCAAGTCATTATAAAGAATGACATGAACGATAAATTGAAAGGTCATGATTATTTTTAACTCGTGATAATACAACCGGAAGCTAAGATTTGTATACATTATAACAATTCGTTATTTATTTGTTTACAGAAATACATAGTACTAAGCCAATACGATAATTTCTAGAAAAAAATTATAATATACACAATATCGCTACTGAGTACTCACTCTGCGAACACATAAATATCTCGATAGTGTCGGAGACAGAATTTGGTAAGCGCAACTTCTTTGTTAACGGCGATTGTGCAACAGACTGGTTCTGGCCCTTGGTATCGCAAACAAGCTTGGCCGTCGCCGTCGCACATATCCCATAGGTACAAAAATTCCGACCTTTCACTATAAAGTATATGAAAGAAAAGCATTGAATATAATATTTAACATTGTATTATGTCTTTTTGAGCTATATGTCATAACAATTTTATTTATTTATCAAGCCATTAAGTCGGACTTAATTATTTGCCCTACCCATTTTATTAGTTTTTCTCTACATTTCTACATATTCTCGTGTTCCCGTCATTTGAAATACCAAGATAAAAAATGTTTTAGCTTATTGCTTTCCACATTCATCCATCTTAGTTTTTCCTTAAATAAAAATATGTCCCCGCTCTTGTATTGACATAACGTATTGTAGAGAATCGACGGTAGACAGTATTGAGAGGAAATGATAAGCTTCAATTCCGTAGAATAAATATTAAAGTCAAGTCTTAAGTACTTATCTTTTTTAAGGCTATTGCAGATTTTTGTCCCTTTCCTTAGGGATTGAGACAGACAATGAACCTGATTCATAGATACTATTTATGTGGGTCTTCTGTGTCTGACCGATACAGTTAATTTTCTAAAATAATATCATATAAGTATTTTCAGTACCAAAATAAATCTAGTCAGTATAATATGAAAGATTGTAAATATATTATAAATGATGAGAGATATATTTCTTTAAGGCAGGCTTTGTATTAGATTATTTTGTATGTAAAAAAATGTATTTTAAACTCGAGTATCATTAGATATTAGGCAGTTTGATTTACCCATGTACTGACTTGACATGAAAATATGTCATCATAAATTTTTATTATTATGTAGGGATAACCTTAATTTTATACAAAATATATTAATTATTTTCGAAGGTGTGAAAAACTTATGACTTCTACTCACATATGTATTAAATTAATTGATGTATTTGATAAAAATCTAATTTTAGATAGATTTTATATTATTATGAGTTCCACTTTTAAAAGGGTAAAATATGATTTCATTGAAAATTCAACAACGAAATTATAAATTATATTTTTCTCGAGTGAAGAAATTCTCAACGGCGGTAACGATGTTTAATAGTATTATTACGAATGGAAATTGTATAATATGATTGCCTTTCTCACGGGAACATTTTTTATGTTTTATCATTAAAATACCAATTAACAATTAGCTATGTGAAGAAATGTGTCTGAAATAGTTTTCGCACGTAACCACTAGAGGCGCTTTAAAAAATTCTTACAAATATTTTACGTAGAATAAGCGTAGCAGTAATTTACTTAAGAGATATATGTAATATTATGACTTTTGTGATACATTAAACATTTCAAATTTGGTTCAGTGTTTTTTTTGGTAGTACCCTGTTAGATAATTAAAAAGCGATACTTTTGCTAATATAAATTACTAGAGTTGATACTTTCTAATATAATTTTTCACAGACGGCGTCAGCAGTAGCTGTAACTCTTTGAAAAAATATATTTTTTTTAGTTCCTATTTATTTCTGCGTAGGTAATTGTTGTTTGTAATAGAGAAGTAACGAAAATACTTTTAAATATTGCTTAACTACAAATGGATGAGCAGTGTTGGCCTAGTGGCTTCAGCGTGCGACTCTCATCCCTGAAGTCGTAGGCTCGAGCCCCGGCTGTGCACCAATGGACTTTCTTTCTATGTGCACATTTAACATTTGCTTGAACGGTGAAGGAAAACATCGTGAGGAAACCGACATGTCTTAGACCCAAAAAGTCGACGGCGTGTGTCAGGCACTGGAGGCCGATCAACTTCTTGCGTATTAAATTGAAAAATGATCATGAAACGGATTCAGAAATCTGAGGCCCAGACCTTAAGAGGTTGTCACTGATTGGTATTATATTATTATTACAAATGGATAGCGATTCCAAACAAGCTTTTATAGTAAAAATAAACAAGTGAAATCGCGTAACCCCCCAATGGAACATATTATATCTGACATTTTTGTTTAAAGGCAAGGCAATTCATTTATTCTTTATATATACAAATGAATCCCTATTTGCCTAGGTCACGGCATCACGCGTGAACGGTTAGACCGATTTGCCTAATTTCTTTTTTTTGGTTGTGTTTGTTACTGTCAGAAGAAGGTTCTTATGAATGAAAAAATAAGAAATTTGCGCGGAAAATTAGAAAATTTAAAAATACTTAACCACCATATTAAGAAATACTGACTTTTGTTACAATGATAAAATACATTAGTATAAAATAATCACATGGCCAGTTATATGTCGCCTGTTCCTGTGTCCGAATACCAACAAAACTATTTATATACGCGCCAGAAAAACAAACAAAGAATGTTGTATATCATAAAGCATTAGAATAATAAACACTTTGTTTCTGAAATATTTTTTTAGTTAATTATACCAATTCAAAATCAATGTTCACAGTTAAGACAGGACAACGTCTGTCGGGTCTGCTAGTTCTTTATAAGCAAGGCCTTCTATGCCTGTTTATACTCAGAAATACTCCTACGCCACCTACGTTTTTGGTAAATTTTGGGCTGTAAGAACTATGAGTTTTCCCCACGAAAATAACCTTCATGCTACGTACGTACGACCTAGCTAATTGAGAATAACAAAATTCATTGTGCAACAACCTCGGGCTTGAACGCGCGACCTCTCCAGTGAAAAGCACTTAGCTAAGCCTAACACTACTCTAAACTTTAAACATTTTAATGAGAGTGCTTTATAGAAATTTATCTTCGTAATCCCCTTACAACTACAACCATTAAGTTCAGCTGTCTCTTTGACAACTAAAGGCTATTCGCTCCATTTCTCACAAAAGGCGAAGACTTTGAAGTGTTCTTTTCAGATTTTCCTTATTTTAATACCTAAGGTTGAAATACTTTCATTTATTATAACAAATTAAAAATATGGTACCTGGTGCTTATATGTAGGGGTGTATTGGTGCTTCTATGATGGCCCAGGAATTTTTGGCAAGACCATATTTTTTCAGCAGTATCACCTTAGCTCATAAAATCCACACTGAAACAAATCCATATTGAGCCCGAGACCTTAATTAATATTTTTGACGCTTTGTTAGACTTCGGGGTCACACATCCAAGAATAGCTTGTTTTTAAATGAAAACGATGTAGATATTCGGTAAACGCACCTGTCAGAATGTGTACCGTTGGGGGACCTTTTTCTATGAAGTTTCTGCAGTTAGGCCCCAACAATAACTTTCATCCTACTCATGTATCGTCTTCTACCAAAAATATAATTACGATGACGTATTCCGAAAACTCGTATAATTGCAATACTCGCACGTTTTGTTTAAATTACAAGACTGAAAATAAATAATTGAAAGCAAAACATAATCTACAAATTTTCAGTAAAAAGATACAAACTAAAACTATGCTGCACTTTTTAGCTATTATTTATTGAAGCTAAGTGCTGCGAGGCTGTACTCATAATAGGCATTATAACCTCTATTATATGACTGCAATAGCCTGAGTTCAACACGTCAGGGCTGTACGTATTTACTACTTGAGGAGCGTTCAAGTACAGTAGAACCTCTATAAGTCGAACATCAAGGGAGACGCCAAAAAATTCGAGTTATAGAGTTTTCAACTTATGGAGGATTTCGACTTAGGCAGATTTTGATTCGACATAAAGAGTTTGAGGTTTTAAATTTCTAAATTTCCAAAGGAATCAAAATTGAACACCTGACACAAAGCAAGCAAACACGTGTTTCCATGAGTCATAAATTTATTATTGTATACTCCCTAAAATGTTTTCTAAGAAACAATAGTGTACTCACATTGGCGGCAAGTTCTTAAAGTCGGTAACTTATTTTTTGTTCGAACAATAGAGATAATAAATTCCAAATGATCAAGTTGTAAAGGTTGTAAAATAAAACGTTCCTATGTTCGAGATACAGAGGTCAAATTTAATTTTTCGAGTTATAGAGTGATAATATGTACCAAAATGTCTTGGAGGGACTCGGTGATTATTTCGATTAACAGAGGGTCAAGATTTCAAGTAATGGAGGTTTTGGTGTTTTAAGGGAAGGGAACAAAAAATTTTTTCGAGATTTGGAGGTTTTTGACTTATCGAGGTTCGACTTAACAAGGTTCTACTGTATTACGTCACGCAATTTTTGGAGATTATTGACCCCCCATGTAACGCGCCGTAACGTTTTTCTGTACCCAATAGTAAAATGTTTCGAGACCACCCAGTGACTCTTTATACCTAAAAGTTACCATTATGTTGTATAAGGAACTGGAAAGTCGAAAATAATATTAACAATAACGCGTAATTCAATCCCCGCCCCCATTGTTACGTTTTACAAAAGGAAAAAATTCGTTGGAGGAGTATATAATAATCCACGTTCAGAACGTGGCACAACAACCACCAACCAATGGTTTGTCATTGTTTAGAGACAGAAAAAGTCCCTGGACACAATGGCAGGGGAGTAGAATAGGTATTTTTTATTAAAAAAAATGGTTCGCCATTTACGGTTGTATGCGGCTGAAACATACTAAACAAGTGTAACTCCAGA